CCCCCCCCCCCCCCCATTTTTTAAAATAAAATCTTGGTCAAAAATCATAGTCAGTAATGTTCTGTTGGATTAAGAAATAATACTCCTTTTGAAATTTCCAAGTCTTTTAAGAAATTTCCTATTCTAGGTTTTCAGAATACTGTATGATGAATGTGGTAAAAACACAAATAGGATAAATTAATTGTCCTGATAAATTTTAATCAGAACAGGTAAATATTTTAAAGACTGAGCATAAAAGATAAAAAAAAAAAACCAACATTTACCAGGTACCTATCAATTTCCAAGCTCTGGGCTATGGGCTTAAAGCAAATTCTTTCATTTAATTTTTTCAATATTCCTATGCTGTGACATTATCACTCCTAGTGCAGATGAGGAAACTGAAGTTTGGAAAGGATAAGTAACTTGCCCAGTTACTATTAAAAAAATGTTAAGCTCCAAATCATGTGCTCAATTTCACAACACCTCACTTGTGATAAAGAGACCAGCCTAAGGTGTGAGTGAAATTTATGAGCCACCTACTATGCATGAATTATTGTGGGATAGTGGAACCAATAGAAAAATGATGCTGGGTAGACCAGATGAAATGAAAATAGTGAGGCAAAGATTTGGAAGTTAACATCAAGGTGATGGTTGAAACCAACAGAACAGATACTCCAAGGGAAACTCTGTTTACTTACGGATAAGGATGAATATCAATAAAATAAATGGATTCTCAATATTCTTCTTTAGTATGTACAAATAGCTTGAAATCTGTGCAGATGTGAACTAAATAGATTACACTGGAACATTACCATACTTACATGATGACATGTAGTCAGGTAGGGAAGGAGAAAAATTTACCCCAAGTTAGTAATAATGTACAAAATTATTGATCATAAAACCGTTTCCTCACCTATAAAAACTAACCTTCTTATATGGAACAAATGGGTTGTGGGATACAAGAACCCATGTTTTGTGCCCTCACCTGAACTTCATTGCTCGCTAGTGCATCCTTGCTGGACTTTTCCCCCTTCTCACATCATTTGGGCTCTGACTCCCTAAGTCAGGCCACATACATGCACAGATGTCCTCTATAAACAAAAAAAACAAAATTAAAAAAGAAAAAGAAAAAAGTAGCCCCTTCACTTTGCTCTGGATCCTAAGATCCACCTGACTGAGGTAATAGATGCCTCCCAGCCCTAACCTGATTTACTTAATTTTATCCTTTAAGGAAACCTACTATCTCTAGCTCTTATCTCTCCCTCAGACTTGAGTCCTAAATTCCCAAAAACTCCATTTGACACCTTTGTTGCTATTTCGAACTCAAGAGAAGGAAAATGAAACAGCAGTGGAAATAATATTAACCTAAACACAAATAATAAAATCCAAACAAGACATGTTTCTTGCCCCAACTCCCCACATCAACTTTCCTTTTTAAATGCAGGCAGCATCAGAGGCAATATTACATTTAATGTTTGTCTAACTCTGGGATTTACTACATTTAACAAATCTGCAAAAAGTACTCAATCTTACAAGTAGGCACTCCAGGTTGCTTGAAATCTTAGCTGAAAACAAGCACCTTTTTAGACGATGAGAAGAGCATGACTCAAGAGGGTTCCTTTCAGTTTAAATTTATTAAATGTCCATGAGTTCAATACAGTAACTAGCACTAAAAGAAAGCAAGAAAATGTGTAAAGTGATGCAGAATCACTTCCCTCTATCCCCACTGGTTATGTGTTTCATTCAGGAAGTGATTTAAAATACATGATTACAGCAACTCTACATTAGCCACACAAATTATAGGAAGAAAAAGTGTGGGGTGTCCAAAAATAATTTACGTTTGGTTTTGGAATGTGTCCTGTAAGTCATAGTTTCAGATGGGTGTATCTATTGTTCTGGGAATTCATTAAAACAAAATAATGACTTGACAAAATGAGGACCCAACAAAAGAGAAGCTGGAAAACTTCAGTTTCCCCACAGGAACCTAACAAACTTCTTCCTGTAACCCACTCACACAGAACAATCTGGCTAAATGGAGCTGCCTTATTTCTAACATTTCCTGGAGCAGCTATCTGGTTCACTGTTTGGGTTATAAAGTGTCTCCTTAATAAATGCATAGAAAGAAAGTGTCAATAAAAGAAAATTAGAAGAAGTAAGTAAATCAAGCAAAACAGATGCCATGAATAGCAGTTCAACAAAGGAAATGAATTCTGTCAGTAAAACTGAAAGTGATATTTGCCCACAGATAATCCATTCTGATAGTGTCTTTGGTTTTATTTTGATAAATATATTCAAGATATTGAATATCAATATCTCAAGAGAAAAAACTGAAGCAGCAGAATAACAAGGAAACAATTTAAAGTTCCTTAGAGTTAAGATCTGAACCCATATCTAGCTAGCTGAACTCCAAGCCCAATGCTCTTTTTCTAACACCTTGGGGCTTACAAGAATGGCACATCTGGAATAAATCAAACCTCTAGATGGCCCCAAGCCTGAAGTCATCCAGCATTTGGGGCAGGCTAGGAACAATGTAAGGAGATTTGATTTATTCTCCCTACTAGAGGATTGCAGATAGGACTTGTCATGCACTGAAGGGCTAAGGAGGAGAGCAACCAGCGAAAAATGTTGTTTAGGTAAATATTTGTGTTACAAAGCTGATACATGCCGTTTGTCATTTTCTTGCTTAAAATCATAAGCTGGTTCTCCATTGCCTATGGGGTCAAGTTTAAACTTCTCTGCATAGCATTCAGGACCCTATCAAGTCTGCGTCCCATCTACTCAGACTTCTCTCATGCCATAAATATGTTATACCTCAAATAGGCCATGTACTTTTACACCTCCATGCCTTTGCTCAAGCCTATGTGGAATACCATCCACTCCTATCTCCATTCTCTTTTCAGTCTGGTAAAATCCCATTCAGCCATCTAGAACCAGCTCAAACAGGCTTTTCCCCCTTTGTTCAGACATCTATGTTGATTGCATAATCTCCTCCACTTGAGCATTGTGACTACACCATGTCCTTCTCATTTCTGTTGTTCCAGCAACTCCTTTGCTGTCTCAGAGTAGGTGTTCAATAAATGCTTACTGAGGAGAATTCCAGTTGGGGAGAAAAGGTTAACACCTAATTAACATATTTATATAACTGACACTCAATAAATCTATACCTTGCACAATGAGGGGAGGAAATTTGGGATACAAAAATAGTTTATTACTCCATCATTACTCTCAAGGAATTTATGATCTAGCTGGGGAGAACACCTTCACATAAAGCCATCACACAACAGCTAAGTGTTAGAAAAGTGCAACTGGCATTCAGAAAATTGAGGGGGGACTGTAAACTAGAGAAGGCTTCATGGAAGAGAGAGGGAAACGAAGGCCCAGGAAACAAAATGGTCAAAGGCTTGGAGATGAAAATGAGGTTGGCATTTGTGCCTGACTGGAGGACAGGGTAGGTGTCTGTGAGTAAATGGAGAGAGATGGTCATGAAGAACCTAGGAAGCTAATGGAGTCACTGTGGTTTATGAGGAGGTAAGTGTGTCAGTACCTCCAGTACTGGCAGTACCTACAGTAGGCTGGAAGAGAGAAGAGGAAAGGGCTGGGAAGGCAGTTTACTGTTTCTAGTTTCAATGAAGGCGATTAAGGTTGAAGGAGGAAGAGGGCAAAGGGAAGGAGGAGCGTGAATTCCCAACAGCTGTACTAAGACCAGGCAAGAGCCAGGTGGTGGGGGTGAATGGGACAGTGCTAGTTTGTGGTATGGCATATTGGCATCTTGTTTTACTAGTGACATTGACACATGTTGTTTCAAATAGATTAATACTCCCT